AAATAGTTACAAAAGTCATGTTAAAGGGAAATCGCGTGTCTGGCATATTGTAATTTTTCAAAGTGTGGCCAAGGGTGACCCCGTGGGTATAGTATATTTGGACTTTCAGAAAGTCTTTGACAAGGTGCCGCACTAAAAGTTCTTAAGAAAACTAAGAAGTCATGGGATAAGAAGGAAGCTTCTCTCAAGGATCAGTAAGTGGATGAAAAATGAAATACATAGGGTAGGAATAAAGGGTCAGTTTTCAGAATGGAGTGTGGTAAGTAGTGGTGTCCCTAAGAGAGATGTACTGGGACCATTGCTGGTAAAGATATGTATAAATGATCTGGAAAAAAGGATAAACTGTGCGATGCCAATGTTTCCAGAGAGCTACAATTACTCAAGATAGTTAAATCCAAAGCAGATTAAGAAGAGTTACAAAGGGATCTTACAAAACTGGGAGATTGGGCAATAGAATAGCCAATGAAATTCGGTATAGGTAAATGCAAAGTAATGCACGTTGGAAAACATAATCCTAACTATACATACAAAAAGATGGGGTCTAAAATTAGCTGTTATCACCCAAGAAAGAGCTCTTGAAATCATTATTGTTATTTCTCTAAGAACATCAGCTACAAGTGCAGTAACAATAAAAAAAACTAATAACTTTGCAAACCATTATGAAAGGAATAGATTTCCACTGTCAAGAGACAGAATATTGGGCTAGAGAGACTACTGGTCTGATTCAATGTGGTCATTCTTATGTTCTTATAAGTAAGCCAGACTAAGGCTGCGTTTTTACATTGCAAATTTATATTCACTTAAGTTATGTCAGCATACAATTGCTGCAGTTAGTGTATTGGTTGTGCACATGCATACTTGGATCCTTGTGCTGCAGTTAGTGTATTGGTTATGCACATGCATACTTGGATCCTTGTGCTGGCTGGGTATATTCACTGGGAGTGCTTGTGTCAATGTGGAGTGCAATACATGATCCGTAGGCAAACTCACTGTGCAATTCACTGTGCAATCCAGTTCTCTAACTTTTGCATGATGTGGTCAAAACTAGTCTCAGAGAGGAGACTGGGAGTCTTTGTCAGCATCCCAGTTTGTATCTGCCTCCATGCTGTTGTTGCGTATCTCTTATAATTTTTTTATCCTTTTTTCAAAATCCCGCAAACCCATATGTCTGTCCTTGCTGTCTACCATCTCAGACAGAAGCACAAAGCCTGAGTAGCTCTTCAGTATTGTCATGAGTGTTGCAAGTACAGATTCACAATCCTATAGTATTTGCAGAGCATCAAGAAGACCCAAATAAGGGGCAGGGAGAGTATAATGATTCCTTGGAGGACAGATTGAAGAATCTGGGACATAGGAAGAATCAATTGAATGTTGTTGGAGCCTATGGAGATGGTGAAGCACCATTTCTGGACTTGTTTCTTGAGAAACAAGCACTCCTTGGTGGGATCTCATTGTAATGTAGGCTTGAGATGATGAGTAGTGGCTGCAGAACTTTTGGATGTACAAGGCCATGTTCCTGGATCTGTCTAGCGAGTTTATGCCAACCTTCCTGGTCAGGGTGCCATAATGAGCGCTTCATTGACAATAGAGAGGTGAGTGGTACTCACACTGTGGAAATCTGCAACATTAGATTGCTACCTGTCAATCAGGACTTGATTTGGAGTTGAGATGCTACAATCGGGATGCTGATGGAGCACTCAAAGATGATCAGGTCATTGTGGAGAAACTAAATTAATTCTTTGCTTCGGTCTTCCTGGTTGAGGATGGTAGGAAGATTCCCAAACCTTGAGCCATTATTTTTAGGTGACAAATCTGAGGAATTGTCCCATATTGAAGTATCATTAGAGGAGGTTTTGGAGCAAATTGATAAACTTAACAGTAACAAGTAACTGGGACCAGATGGCATTCACCCATAAGTGAAATTGCAGAACTATTAACTGTGTTTTGTAGACTATCCTTTAGATCAGCTTCTGTACCTAATAACTGGAAGATAGTTAATGTGACGCCAATATTTAAAAACTGCTCTGCAGGTGTTACAGACCTGTAAGCCTAATGTCAGTACCTGGCAAATTAGTTGAAACTATAGTAAAGAAAATTGTCAGATACCTAGATGAACATAATTTATTGGGGAAAAGTAACTACAACCTGTCCCCAAGTTACAAATGTGTTACGGACCAAACACTTGGCTGTAACTCGAAATAGTCGTAAGTGGACCCCATTGAGTTACATTGCAACCTCGCTGTTTGTAAGTGTGGGTCGCGTTTGTAATTCGGGGACCGCCTTGACGACAGCTTAATGGGAGGTTTGGTCGTAACTTGGGGACCGGTTGTAGTGGAGTCCGTAATGGGACCAGTCTCATTCAACCTATTTATAAATGATCTGGAGAAAGGGGTAAACAGTGAGGTGACAAACTTTGCAGATGATACTAAATTGCTCAAAATAGTTAAGACCAAAGCAGATGAAATTTAATGTTGGTAAATGTAAAGTAATGCATATTGGAAAAAATAATCCCTGCTATACATACAAAATGATGGGGACTAATTTAGCTATAATTACTCAAGAGAGATCTTGAAGTCATTATGGATGGTTCTTTGAAAACATCAACTCAGTATGTAGCAAACAGGAATCATTAACAAAAGGATAGAGAATAAGACAAAGAATATAGTATTGCCTCTATATAAAAAACCCTACGGTACGTCCACATCTTAAATACTGTGTACAAATGTGGTTGCCTCATCTCAAAAAAGGCATATAGGCATTGGAAAAGATTCAGAATATGGCAACAAAAATGAGGGTTTGAACGAGTCCCATATGAAGAGAGATTAAAAAGTCTGTGACTTTTTGGCTTAGAAGGAGGCTATGATAGAGGTCTATAAAATCATGACTAGTGTGGATAAACTAAATAAGGAAAAATTATTTATTGTTCCCAAAGCATAAGAACTAGGGGTCACCAATTGAAATTAATAGGCAGAAGGTTTAAAATAAACAAACAGAAATTTTTCTTCACGCTGCATGCAGTCAGCTTGTGGAAGTCCTTGCCAGAGGATGTTGTGAAGACCAGGACTTTAACAGGGTTCAAAAAAAGAACTGGATAAACTCATGGAGGTTAGATCCATCAATGGCTATTGGGAATGGGAGATGGGAGAGGGATTGTTTGACGATTCCCTCTTCTGT